GTATGTTGGCCGCGAGGGCTTCCATAATGATTACGAAGAGTAAAGGAGCAATAAGGTCTCCTTGCCTGACTGATCTCTGTAAGGATATAGGGGGGGCAACATTACCATTCACCATTAGTTTTATCATTGCATTCTGATGGAGAATCCTAATCCATCTCCTAAAGTTAGGGCCAAAGTTTAATTTATCCAAGCATTTATCCAAAAAAAAACAATCTAAGTGGTCATACGCTTTTTCAAAATCTATAAAGATAAATGCGGCATTATGCTTTGATTGCCTCGATATTTTAATTAGTTCATTAATCAGTAGAATGTTATCCTGAATATTCCTTCCTTATATAAAACCTCTTTGAGAAGGATGAATAATGTCTGCGATAAATTTATTAAGGCATGTTGTTAGTGTCTTTGAAACCATCTTATAAACTACTGTAAGGAGAGTAATTGGGCGATAATTGCGAATATTATATTTATCTTCTTTCTTTGTATAGTAAGGTTAGAATTCCTTGACCAACAAACTCGGCCATCCGACCCCTATCCCATACATTATGATAGAATTCCATGAGATCCTGAGATATGAAATCCCATAAGGCTTCCCAAAATTCCTTAGGGAGCCCATCAATTCCTGAAGATTTTTCCTCTTCCATCATCATAAGTGTGGTCCAAATCTCGTCCTTAGTAATGGGTAGCTCTAGTTGATCCCTTTGCTCTCCCGAAAGGGATTTAGTCAGGGGAGTAGCTCTAGTTGATCCCTTTGCTCTCCCGAAAGGGATTTAGTCAGGGGAGCCAAGAACTCATCGATATCCTTAGATCTCAGGATATCTGTGGCAATGTGTATTTCAGATGTAAATAATTCCTTGAAGAAATCTCGAGCGATTTTTGTGCATTCTGAAGTGGAGGAGGTTATTTGTCCATTTGACTCTTGTGGGTGAGATAATCCGTCGATAATTGTTCTTCCTCATCGGACTCTAGCCATTGCAAAAAACCTAGCACCCATACCTCCTTCCGTAAGTGAATAACGAATCTTCCCTCTAATTCTAGCACCTTACCAACGATTTTTCATCAGAGAAAGTAGACTATCTTCTAGATCATTTAATTCTTGGGTCAATTTTTCATCATTGCCATCTTCCTAATGAGCCTCTTCTTGGGTTTGAATTTGTTGGATTCTTTGAAATATTCTAGTTTCATTGGAATACCTATCCGCGACAAGTAATTTAGAGTATTCATTGCATTTACGCCCTAGAAAGTCTAGACCGTTGTTGAACCATGTCACATCATCCTGTATGACTTCTTTTTTACCTTTCAAGAAAGCCCATACATCCTTTAGATAAGATTTGAATCGATGGATCTTAAGATGGGATGTATTAAGTTTATAGTACCCTCTCCCTTGGTCCAATTTCTTGAAAAAAGAGAGGATAACTATACACATGGCGTGATCTAGCCCTGTAAGAGGGTTTTTGGGGAATATTTGCGCAATTTGAAGAGAACAATCACGCTTCGGATGTTTGCTCCTAGCGAACCGGTGCAGCACACGATTTGTCTGGCGGTGCTGGCCTTTTCTGTCAGGTGGGCCTCATGGGTTGACCGGGACGTTGGAACAAAATAGTTGGGACCACAATTACACGGCCCCAGCCTTGCAGAAACTTTTTGCCGCCACAAGCAAAACTCGGAGGCGCCACACGGCCAGGCCTGGCGTTGAAAAAAATAAATCGGTGGCCTCCGAAGTGGTGCGGGTTTAGGGTTGACACCTGTGGCCCGATATGGGGTGTATTGGTGCTTTAAACCACCAGTACATCCGAGCCGTTTTTTGAAAGGTAGATTCCCCATGTGCGCTGAGCCTTGCCCAAATGCCAGCACGCATCGTCCCCCCTCGTCGTTTTGGTTGTCATAGCCAGTCATTTTGGTCCGGTAGCACTATTCTGCCTAACGTTTAGAATGATTCATTTTTTTATTTTCAATTTCATTTATCGATTGTCGATTTTTATTATTATAATTATTATTTTTTCTTTTTTTTTCTTTTTTTTTTTAACTTGAAACTTCAATTTAAGTCGGGAAATGGCCCAGCGTCCCTTACATGAATGTCGCAGCCATACAAGGCTGGGAAAGGCACTTCCAGCCAATCCGATCCCCAACCACAGTCATCAGTTACGGAGACCCCGGGCCCCCCCAGTACTGAAAAGGGGGAAAACCAACATGTCCAAGGGGCTCGTTAGACACTCCTCGGGCGTGTAAATCCCCCGAGGAATTCATCGTTCCACTTATTCTCGGGGAAAAAATTGACAAAAGAATGTGAAAACATTACCTCGGGGACTCCTTAGGGATCCATCAGGCTACAGTCATTTCGACGCTTTCCCCAAGGGACCTCCCGAGGTCCCTCGGGGGTCGAGCATCCGGAAGAATCGGGGCGTCGACGACAACTCTTTCGACGACAATTTTCGAACTCAGTTGGTCCATTGCTGTTCCTGGCGGCCTGTCGACGGACATCTTCGGTTGACAACGTTTGGCGTCATGGAATTGTCCGCACCGTTGCCGGTCTGCCGGCCTCCACGACGTCTAGAAGGGGTTGTCTTGTGTCGGTGCCCTTGACCCCGAGTGGAAAGGCGCCCAACCGTCGGCAGACTCAAACATTTCAGCCGGCCCCTGCTCTCCCGATTGCGCAGTGGCGCTGTAGTGTCCAGAGCCAGCACTCCGTGTTTGTAGTCGGCGTCGTGGACTCACCAAAGGCGCTGTAGTGTCC